TCAAGACCGGGAAATGAACCATCTAAGAGGACGAATGGCTTGGGAACAGTGCCCACTGTTATCATCCAGACCGGAGACCTCACCAACATCTGCCAGTGGGTGGAGTACTCAGAAGGCTCTTACCTAAGTGGTGGGAATAATTACCCTAGACTAAAACACTGCTTTGGTTGGGCTAACACACTTTTTTTTAATTTTTTTTTAACGTTTATTTATTTTTGAGACAGAGAGACAGAGCATGAACGGGGGAGGGGCAGAGAGAGAGGGAGACACAGAATCGGAAGCAGGCTCCAGGCTGTGAGCCATCAGCCCAGAGCCCGACGCGGGGCTCGAACTCACCGCGAGATCGTGACCTGAGCTGAAGTCGGACGCGTAACCGACTGAGCCACCCAGGCACCCCAACACACTTTGCAAGCAACACTTAGAAGAATCAAATCCCTTCAATTCAATGTGTCCTTGAAGAAAGCTCAAGCATATAAGAAAGCAAGAATATCCAGCACCCAAAGTAAAAATCAAAATGTCTGGCATCTACTCAAAAATCTCCAGGCATACTAGGAAGCTGGGAAGTACGGCCTGCAGTGAGGGGGAAAAAAAAAGCAATCGAAATAGAACTGACCCAGATACTGTAACTAGCAAAGAAAGGCATTAAGGCAGTTGTTACAACTGTCATGCATATGTTCAAGAAGTCAGGTAGCTACACAAGAGATACTTCTAAAAAAGTGAAAATTACAATGTCTGAGTTGAAAAACACACTGAATGGGACGACTGGCAGGTTAAACAATGCAGAAAAATAGACTAGTGAACTCAAAGACACAGCAATAGAAATATTTTAAAATGAAACAAGGCATAAAACAAATTACTTGAGAAAATAAACAGGACATCAGTGAAGCTGTGTGACACAACAAAATCAAACAGCCTAATATGTGTTTTATCTAATGACAACTGGGTCCCTTAAGGAAAAAAGTGAGGGGAAAATGTAGAAAAAAAAATATTTGAAGAAACAATGGCTGAAACTTTCCAAATCTGATGAAAACTATACACCCACAAATCAAAATAACCCAGTGAGCTCCAAACACGAGAAACCGAATAAAACAAAACCAAACTACATCAGAAACAAATTTCTCAAAATCTTAAAAGCAGCTAGAGGGAAAAAAAAGGCATGTCACATTCGAAAGACACATAGATACAGATAGCAGTGGGTTTCTCTGGGGACAGGATACAAGCGAGGAAACATAAGAGCAATGTCTTGAAAGTAAAGAATGAAAAAACGTTATCCTAGAATTCCATACTGAGCTCAGATAACTTTCAAAAATGAAGGCGAAATACCAGCTTTCTCCAGACATCCAAAATGCGAAAGAAGTCCTCACCAGCAGACCTACACGGCAAAAAATGCTAAATGGAGCCTTTAAGGTGGAAGGAAAATGATATGTGGAAATGTGGATCAATACAAAGGAACAGAGAACACCAGAGTTTACATGGGTCGATGAATATAAATGTGTATGTATACATGTATATACATACGTGTATCTCATTAGATAGAAAATATTAACTATATGTTGTATACAAAATAGAATGGTACCAGAAGGATTATAAATAATGACACATGTTGAGGTTGTTAAATAAAACCATTTTTGATGCAATCATCGGTCTGTTTTTCTATTTTTATTTTTTTAAATTTTTTATTATTTTTATTATTTTTAATTATTTTCATTTTAGTTTATTATTTTTATTATTTTTAAATTTTTACTCTTGAGAGCAAGCAAGACAGAGTGCAAGTCAGGGTGGGGCAGAGAGAGAGGGAGACACAGAATCCAAAGCAGGCTCCAGGCTCTGAGCCGTCAGCACAGAGCCTGACGCAGGGCTCGAACCCAGGAACCATGAGATCCTGACCTGAGCCGAAGTCAGATGCTTAACTGACTGAGCCACCTAGGCACCCCGTCAATATACTTTTTAAATAAACACAATATTTTCAAAGAGTCAATTACCTGTTTTATTCCCTTATTCTCTTCCCTGCTAACCCATTTTATTTTCCTTTTTTTAAAATATTTTTTAATGTTTATTTATTTATTTTGAGAGACAGAGAGAGAGAGGGGGCAAGTGTGCGAGCAGGGGAGGGGCAGAGAGAGAGAATCCCAAGCAGGCTCCACACTGTGAGCGCAGAGCCCGATGTGGGGCTCGAACTCATGAACCGTGAGATCACGACCCAAGCCCAAGTCAGGCGCTTAACCGACTGAGCCACCCAGGTGCCCCTAACCCATTTTATTTTCAATGCCTGATCTGACACAGGGCTGGAGGGCCACACGGACGACTGGTGGATTACCACGTTGTTCACCATTCTGTGCCTACATATTCCACATTCCCAAGGATTCATGCACTCCTTCCTTCGTCTTTGCTTTCCTTCTGTCCTCCCCTCCTTCTTTCTTCCTTCTCTTATTCACCAATAGACACACTTATAAACCATGATGGGAATGGAGCCAGCTCAAGGGTAGACTTGAGAAGACACTGACCTTGAACACGGGAAGTCGAAGTAGATGGCCGAAAAGAAGCAACTGAAGATGCCCCAAAGAGGAATAACAATCGAGAAAGAAATGAAGGTAGACCTGGGCACAGAATGCCTGTCCGTGGCTTCAGAGCCCTGCATCAGGGATGTCAACTTGGAATTGATCAGACAGTGCATAAACGTTCCTGAAAACTTAAGAAAGCAGAAAGACACCCAAGGGGAGACCTTTTCAGAGTAGAATACAAAGCCAAGAACAAGTCCGTGGGGAATACGAACACTGGACACTGGGGGCTGCTGGAGGGGGCAGGGGACTCTAAACAGACTGTGCACTCTGGACGTGGAGGGGAGGGATTTTCAGGAAGAGAACACTCGTGTGCCAGGAAGCCACGAAAATGCATGAGGTTGGTTTCTACGAATGGCCAGTGTCATTGGAGTATAACTGGAGTGTAAAGAAATGAAACCAAACAGAGACGTTGCATCTAAGGGACACTATATGCCAAGATAAGCAATCTGGACATTTTCTCACTATCAACAGAGAAGTGAAAATAGAAATGGGGGGGGGGGGCGAGATAATCATTAGCACTTTGGGCTATAAACCGTATCATATTCAAACACTCAAAAATAAAAGTGCAAAGTGCTAGGCTTCAACAATTATTCTTATTAATAATAAAAATGAAGACAATACAGAGAGAGGCCCTACTATTAAGGAATGTACTCCACAAAGTTTCACAAGTAGTGAGAACTATTATAAGTTACAGTGGGAACCCCTGATGCCCGACAGCTCACGTTTGCTGAATTTTGGGTGCACGCAGGCCCCATGAGAGCTACACAGCCAACCAGCCCTTCCGGGGATCAGGCGCACAGCTTTGATCTTTCTGGCACTGACCTCTAACCGGAGGAACCATGGTAATGTCTCCTCAAGAAGAACATCAAGCTGATGGCAAATCCCCATCAAAGAGCCCGCACGGCTTTCAAGTAGTAAACCTGACGTTGTTTCCTGGGTAATGGGAGAAAGGAGAAACTCATTTTATGGGATCAAAGAGAAACCGAGGATCAGGCGTCCCGGCCGTTGCGGCCGTGAGCGTGTTCGTGGATCCCAGAAACAAAAGGATGGGAGGAGATGACCGACGGAAAGAGAAAGAAAAAGGCGGACGGCCACGCGGCATCGTGTGGGCTAAATGGTGCACGGAAATGCCATGCAGAGGTAGGATTTGGAAACAGAGTGGAAGGGGAGCCTGTCATCTGGCAGCTGGATGACACTGAGGCCGAAGGGGACCTTTGAATCTAGAACAGGGTTGCTTCTGGGATGGTGAGCCTCACCTCCAGAAGGTCTCACTGTCTGTGGGGTTAGCGAAGGGGCAATGGTATCATTCCTACACAATCACTCCCTGTGCCCTGGAGTGCCCATATCCTCCTTGATCCCTGAGCCAACAGAAGCTGAGATTCCTGCAGCCACTATTTCTCCGCGAGTTCCTTCTCCCTCCCCGGGACCCCTCCCTGCCCGCAGCTCACCTCCCAAGCCCTTCACTTGGAAAACCGACTGGCCGCTCTACTCCCCGTGCCCCGGGGTCACGTTCCAGTATTTTACGTCTGTTTTGTACAATTTTATGGCTTCTCATAAAATCCTGACAACAAAAATGAATCATTCTAGAACGGCCCCCCACCTCCAATGTTTAACACAGTTCTTGGCAAATGGCCAAGTGTCCGATAAATTCTTAGATGGCAAGTGAGGGAATGAGGAAATGAAGGCCAGGATAATATAGTGGTTATGAGAACCGAATTTGGGAGAAAAGACATCGCTTTCGAAATGAAGTGGGACCAAAAACCCAACCTTACGAGATGTCCCCATCCGATATACTCTTTGCGTTAGTCTCCGGTTTTCTAGAAGGTATTTTTTAATCATTATTTTTTTCTTTTCGTATTACTTTAAGTGAACACTGGTATATTCCAGATCATCGAAATGGCAACCGCAGAGTTGATTCCCCCACGCATTTCACTGAAGGTGTTTATGCTTGTATTTATGCGATTTTTGTTACTCTTCTCATCAGTAGAGAAAAGAGGGAAGACCCGACACGTAAATGACGTTCAAAGGAGGCCTCGAGTAGAGAAAAGTGGAGACGCAGGCAGTGAACCTAAAAGAAGAACTGAGTCATCATCGTGGGGCTCGGGGAAAACAAGATCACCAGCGTCCCCACGCGAGGGTCACCCCGGTGACAGCATCAGAGAACAGCACCATCGGTCCCAGTAAATTACCGCTGTTGATTTGGAGTTCGTTACTTTCATGAAGTAAAGGTTCTGAGGCTCAGGCCAGGCGCACCTGTACATTCGACTAGAAAATAACTAAAGACAGCATAATATCAAGGCGTTCCATAAAAAACCGTTTTACATAGATATTTAAAAGGCTGAAAGAAGTCAGGTTCAGTTTTCAGTTCGGCATTTAGAGCACGTCAGCCCGTCATCGATGTCGGCGGGGGGCGGGGGGGGGGGAATAAACACCACTTACTGTATGCACATCCGTACACTTCTATCCGCATCCCAATCCTGCCCTTAGGGTTCCAGGCTACAGGGAGGAAGCGCAGGAACCTGGCTTCGAAGGGAGGCTCGAGTCTGTAATGTACCACGCTGTCTGCGTTTGTGTTTCCTGGAAAACCCTGGGAGAAAACGGAGAAAGGGATCAATGTGTCTGCAGAATGCCGAGTTCACGCTGTCACCTCTCGTGCCTGTGAGGGATGGGTGCCTCACCTCGTTAATACGCAAAAGGCCGCCCGCTTTATAGAAACGCCGCTAACGTTTGAGAGGCTGTGTGACAACCTTTCTTCAGGGCCTGGATTAGTCGCCATGGTCTAAGTTTTCCTTATTTGCAGGGTAAATAAGGAATTTGCAGACATTCACACGCAGCCCCACATCCAAGGCAATCAAGCGGAACATGGAGCCCGATGCAGGGCTGGATCCCACAACCCCGGGATCATGACCTGAGCCGAAATCAAGAATCGGATGCCCAACCAATGAGCTACCCAGATGCCCAACCCCTGACGCTTTAAATGGCTTTTTAAAGTTGATTCCATTGATTCGTCATCAGATTCTTAACCAATTTTCTCAGATGGCCTAGGCTATAATAGTCATAACAATCTAAAGTTTTCCTGTTACACAGCATCTTACTAGAAAATGCTACCCCCTCCAAGGACCTTACCGGTCTATGCTCCGCAAAGAACGAGTAAGGGCCCTCAGCTTCTAAAACGTAATGCCAGACGTTAAGTCTATCTAAAATTCTGTCAGTTCTTTGGAACCCACAGTCAAAACTTCCAGTTGTACGCTCTTTGATCTCTCCCAGTTTTATTATTCAGAGAGGCAAAAGACGTCCTCGTAATACTCCTGCATGTGACAGTGATATAATTAGGGGGAAAAAGTCGACCCTTCCTTAGGCCCACTTGCATCAGAAGGTCAGACTCACCTTCCTGCCTGCATGTCACACGAACAGCCAGATACGATCAAACAGCCCGGGAGCGAAGTTCTTCTTAGCTCAGCCAGGAATGTTGCCTGCCTCGTTGTCTGGCCTTGTGGAACACTAGGTCCCAGCTTAACGACCAAATCAAGTTCAATCCCTAGTAAGCCACAACAACGAGGTATAAACAGACGGAACTAAGGATATCAAAAACTCCAATGTGTTGGGAATCTCAGATGCTATAACTCTTCCTCTGGGCTAGAGAATGAAATACCAACTCAGACGCATTCAGTCATCTCTCTCTCGTCCAATGGAAGTGTCATCTTTGTCCTTTACGCCGTCTTCGTTTTCAAGGGTTAGCAACTGCCACGCCACGATCAGCGTGCCTCCACGCTCCAGATGTGAATTTGGAACTGCACTGTACCTGCCCCGCCACTTGCCGGCCCATGGTCTTAGTTGTAGTCATGGGCTGCAGGCCACAGTTCCCTCGCCTACAAAACCAGCTTGTAAACCCTAACTCCACAGGTTGAGATGCTACTAAGTTAGACAATATCTGAAAAGTAACATTCCCATATCGGCCTGGAGGTAGGCGGTCCACGAAGGCTGGCCACTGTGGCTGTGCTCCTGGATGCCATTTTGGATACCGTCAGTACCTTCGGCTGAGGGGGCTCATCTGTCAAACTCAGCATCCTGTTACTTAACGTCTCAGGTTCAGTACCCAAGATGTGCAGGTAAACAGTGAAGGGAGAAACATCAGCTCCTACATTTACGGTGATGCCCAACTTGTAATTCAATTTAAGAACTGAAGTCAAGGGGCACTCAGGTGGCTAGTCAGGTAAGCAACTGACTCTCGATTTCCGCTCAGGTCATGGGATCAAGCCCAGCGTCGGGCTCTGTGCTGACACGGCGGAGCCTGCTTGGGATTCTCTCTCTCCTTCTCTCTCTGCCCCTCCCCACCATGTGCTCTCTCTCACTCTCAAAATAAATAAACTTAAAGAAAAACGAATTGAAGTCAATATTTATTTGAGTGTAGCTGACAAAACTTGTAACTCTCAGCATGAACCATTTAATTAAATTACTTCCTAAGAAGGATACTTAAGTTGTATTTTCTTGATATATAATTACTTCCTTCTAAAATATTGTTTACTGAATATAAATTCTGAAAATCGCCCTTCAGATTGTGTGATGATAGTGCCAGACAGCAAAAGGAATTTCGAGTTCTATTTTAGTGGAATTTAAACAGAATACTCTTTAAGAAATACTTCAAGTGGCAATAATGTCTTAATAGTCTATGAAAAGTGGGGATTCAAAACACACTCTTCACAACTTCTGAGAATCCGTGTTCAAAACAAAACATTCATCGCGTCCGATTTTAATTATATTCAAATGCTTGGAACCTATGTATGTGTATGTATACACCTAGGTGATTATCATAATTCATTCTAATTTTAAGGAATTACATTATTTGTGTCTTATGTAGAATTATCAACAGTCCTTTTGGATACAAATCAATGATACGTGTCCTTAAAGACACAGAGATTAAGTGAAGTGAGTCTGGCACAGGTGGGATCTCTACTAGCATATCTATGCTCTCATGTTTGGGGCTAATTACTGAAATGATCCCGTATATTTTTGTCAAGCTAACGTTTCTTTTTCAGAGGTGGTATAATCTATTATTCTATTCTAATCTGTTATTCTGTTCTATTCTATTCCATTCTATTCTTCTATCTATATAATCTATTATTCTATATTTTTGGTTTAGTGTTTCCAGAACACACACAGATGCACAGGCTGAACGCAGACGGACAAGAACAAAGGGTCACCCTCGCCCTGTTCTAACATGCGGGAAGGGGCAGACCCCACGGGAGCAGAAAGCAGCGGTCCCGGTGGAAGCGAGCTGCCCTGGGCAATTCCTCAGCAGCTCTCACCCAGGCTCCCCTCCACGCAGACCCACGAAAATCGAAAATCAGCTCCATCCAACTTCTTCCCTATCTCTCGTTACAGGAGTGACCTCAGGGAAGCCAGCATCTTCATGTATAAAGTAGGAAAAAGAAAAACGATCTTACAGCTCTGATGGGCTAGGGTATGAGAGTTTCACGGGTTCATCACCTGACCATTTTCTCCATGGCATTCCTGCTGAGGGTCGCTGGAGGGGTGCTGGGTGGAGGGATGGGCTAAATGGGCCACGGGCATTAAGGAGGGCACTTGTCGGGATGAGCACTGGGTGTTATATGTAAGTGATGAATCACTAAATTCTATTCCTGAAATCATTATTACAGTATACGTTAACTAACTTGGATTTAAATTTTAAAAAATAAGCTAATATTTGAAAATGTTCACAACACTACCTGGCTGGCATGATAAATATTATACATCACAATTAAACTAATTGCACTCAACAAATATTATACATCACAATTAATAAATAACACATGAACTGGAAAAAAAAGAAACCAACACCCCCCCCCTCCCCACTATTGATCAGAAACACTTCAGCTAGACGTGGACTCAATATTCAATCACTTTAAAAGCATCACAATTGAGTGTTTCATCCATGATTAGGAACAAACAACGTCTGATGAAGTTTTCCGTTTCCCCGTTAGCTATGCGGAAGGGAACCCGAGTCCGCGGCTTGGGCTCCATTCACATGCTACAGATGCGTTTCTAAAATAATATGTTTTAGCAATCGATGACATTTCTGAAAAGCTGCCCACTCTGCATTTCGTTTATTCAGCAGTCACATCAGTAGGATCTAAATCACAGGAAAGGATCGTTACGAGGCTCAGGCAAAGCCCCAGTCTCCAGCGTAACGTGCCCCATCCCATTCTGCATTAGAGTCAACAAATGACCTTCAAGATGCCGATCATGTATTTGTCACTGTACGTTTGAAATATCTGCGTCGTGAGAAAGGCTTTCCTACCAATTCTTTGTTTCAAAATAGGAGTGGGGCTGTCTACAGAATGGGTCTCAGTGGTTTTAAAAATAGATAATCATTAGGGCTCTAAGCTGGGCCCCTACGAAATCCAAGCTTCACTCTGCACTCACACTGTTCACTGCATTTTAAGACCTCTGCGGTAGGAGAGGGGATGTTGCGGGGACTAAGGGGGTGTGCGGGAATCCCCGAGCTCTGAGCTCTAATTCTGGCCATTTTAAGTGCCGGACCATGATGGTGTTAGACAACATATACTTAATCTCCCCACGTCTCTGCTTCTTCACGAGTAAGAGGGGAATACTAACAATTATTGCTATTGCTAAATATAACATTTTGTCCCTGTTATTTTTGGAGGCTCGCGGGCCACGAAAGGACGTATTAAAATCATTTCCTGTAATCAGACCATGCGAACGCTGTGGTCGGTTGCTTTCAAGTCCATGCTCTCGTGATAAATTATTTTTAACATTTTAGTGAACCAGGAAGTACCACAAGGTTTACACTTAAAGAAAACAAGGAAAGTATCCTCCTGCCACTTTGGTTTTATTGACTGAACTGGACATTCAGTAACACGGACTGGATGTCACGTGTCGGACCCGGAAGGAGCCGCTCAGTCATCCAGACCAGCAGGCTTCGTGCCCGGTGACCGCTCAAGCTTCAACGCGCGCAGATACGTTGACTTCAACGTGTTCTAGAAAGGGAATGGATAATCTCTCGTCTGGCTTAAAACCAGAAAACACGCCCCCCAAGTGTGCTTCAAAGATTTGCTTGTGTGTAAGACGTATGTCTGAATGCACACAATAGGTGCATTACAGGCACGTAAGTAGTATATTCTGATGTGAAAATCTCCATGTGCCGGAAACAGCGTGCACTTAATGAGTGGTTCCTGGTATGTTTTATGGCCTCTTCGTGGAAGCAAGTCACAAAATCAGACCCACAGCTGTCAAAAGACACAACCACCTCTCTGTGTCCCAACACCTGCCCCTGCCTCCAGGCGGAACCCACCCCATGAGCGAGTACAGCTACACCACCCAGAAACCCATGGGGGCCCAGCCCTGGAGACATGCACACCCCCGGGGCCTACACAGACGCAAGAAACAGGTCCTAAATGCCGCTGCTCTTGATTGACGTGATTTTTTTTTTTTTTTTTATCTGCGCGGTATAGAGAAGGGCAGTGTAAACATTGCCGAGATATGGTTGAAATAAAGTATTTTTAAAACTTTATTTTTGCTCAAGTTGTATTGCTAAGTGTTAGGCTTTTACCACTTTGTTTTACCTTC